AGAGGGAGGTGCTCTGGTGGGGCACCCACCCTGTCCAGTGGCACCACCACCCCTAGGGTGATGCCCACCTGGACGTGGCCGAGAAGTAGTAGAGTGAGCGCGAGCACAGGTGCGTCCGGTGTACACCGCCGTGGTGAGGGCGGTGCACTCGCCTGGTCACCGCCACTGGAGGGGCGGTGCTGTTGGCATGCGAAATTGATCCGCGCAACAACACGATAACTATCGTACTTTCGTGACGATGAGCGACTAGTTTTCATGACAAAATAGCAAATGAGTTCATCGCTTTTGTGAAGGAGAGCTGACCGTTTTTCAGCACAAAACGGCAAAGATTACCAATCCCTAATGGAGATTAGGATTCGGCGTGTACTACTGTCCTAAGGTAGAAGAAAACATAATGCTGAAAAAATAATAGATTGATAACGTCGATTGGCTAGAGAGGAAAAAACAATCGGCCGCACCCCATAATATATATGGGTCTGCCTGGTCTTCCACAGGGTTACATGAGTCAGAGTCTTAATCACATACGAATACTAGAATAAAAATATCCCTCCTAATATAATCCTTGCTTGGCCCTGCACGCGAGACGTACCAGGTATGTATCAGGTAATCCAAATAGAACTTGTATTCTCCAACCAAAGAATTCATCTACTTAAAATCTCATTCCGTGATCTCTCCTTCTGAGTTCCTTCTTTACTTTCTTTTCCTTCACTCGTACAGCATGCATGAAAGTAGTATCCGACCTCCATGCTGCATATACCCTTGACTTGTAGGAACACTTTCCTCCATAATTAGCAGCTGAGTTTCCATTCACCAATCATGTATCCTACAAATCCTCATGATGAGTTCCGCTCCTCCAAACATGCATAGAACACATATCTGATCCGGCTCTTCAAGATGCAAAACCTCACACAAACATGCATGCACGATTGGCTTGGCAAAAATAATCTGGCCGCCTGACGATGTCCACCATTGATATTGCTGCATCCTGCGCCACGCATCAGCCTAGCCTACTTCTAACCTGTCAAAATTCTTAAGCAGCGCGCATTTCTGCTGATTAACATGACTACTATTAGTTAAAACAATTTGGCTGACCAAATAGGCTAACTTGCATAATTACATTGTCAACACAACACATGCTCCCTGTTTTTGGTATAATTGCATTTACCAAAAACACTAGACTAGTGCCATTTTTATTCACAGATTCGGTCAACATCTTGCTATAACAATGCTTACAAAACCTCTAGAATGACTAAGACCGAATTTTATGTATCTCTATAACCAAAAACTGGTCCAAGCTGGTAGAAATATTTCTTACCATTCTTATGAAAGGACACAAGCACGTCACCCTCCTTACAAAATTAGTAGCCACATCTTATCATATCAAAATCTTAGCCATGATGACTAACACACGAGCTATATTGTTTTTCTTTATTTAGAGCAATATTCCCTCGTATATCACAGCCAAAATTTGTTATAAAGGTAGTGTAAACTCATGACCCACATTTCATTCTAGGGCAAGGATGAACTAGTATCGGCCATATATATGTATGTGTAGGCAAATATCTCAGCAAACATATGTATTCAATCATCCTATCAATAACACCAAGATTTTATATTATTATTTTTGGCAAAAACAACTTATCATGTAGCAAGCAGCCGAATAACCATCTTGTATATCATAGAGATATTGCATTTACCAAAAAACACAAGACATACTCTTACTCACAAATTCGGTCATGGTCTAGCTACCATAATAATGTTTAATAGAAGACTTTGGCAAAATCTAAAGACCGAATTTTAAGTTGTATGTTGTCGTTGCCGGCACCGCTATTGGACCTATGGAGCACAAGGGAGAGAACAAATGTAGCAACATCATGGCCTGCCGCGGCGGAGCGCTCAAGCATGTCGAGCCGCGGCATGAGCGCGGTGCAGTCTTCCACGAAGACGGCGTGCATCCCAGCGTAGAAGCAGGCCTCCGGGTTACCAACGCTAGCAAGCCTAGCGATGGGCTTGGCGCGGTTATTATTACTTCTTCTGAACCAGCACAAGCATGCTACCCACCTGCAATCCTTCATACAAGATTTATCCGATGCATCAAAATCTGAAAGCCATGATGACTAACGCAACGGCTATGCTATTTTTCTTTTCTCAGAATATGCTTACATGGCACAATAGCCAAATCTTGTATTTAATTCTTTTTTACCTAGGTCCATATTCAATTGTATATCGGCCAAAAATTGCTCGAGAGACAATGATGAACCATGACCCCAATGACCCCATATTTTCACTCCACAGGCAACGATGAACCCTATATATATATATATATATATATTGGGTGCATTTTATATACTTCCGAGAGTAGTTACTTCCATAATCAATAAATCACGTTGCGTATATGTACAGACTTATTTATCAGTTTGAGTACGTTGACATACTAATATTAAGATATTCCAGATCTTTACTATGTGAAAAAAAAAATTCAAAAGAGCACATATTTTTTAATATATTATATAATACTATGATAGTATCATATAAAATAAGTATAACCATATACTCTAAGTATACATACATACTTGTCATACATAGTACCCTAGATGGTCTAGTATGATGATATACTCTATCTACATACACTTCGTCGGGCCATATACATTCTAAATATAGAGATATACATATGGGAGTAACTACTCCCTGGAAGTAGGAAATAATTTATATATATATATATATATATATATATATATATATATATATATATATATATATATATATATATATATATATATATATATATATATATATAACTACTAGATGAGTGCCCATGCGTTGCAACGGGTGCAACATAAATTGAATGAGATGTTTGTTAGCCAAGTCAAAATCAAGAATATATCAATTCAATTTTTCATGTGTATTATACCATGATAATGTCTAGAAACACATTCATTATCATAATGAATCTGAAATAAAAGCTAGGCTTGGAGCTTGTTGTCTGAAAGTTACGACAAACATCAGTTGCCTCAAATGCTGAAAATTTAATGCTAGACATCGAATTGAATTTATCCATGCTCTGTCTTGCTAAAACATGTATACTCGGACTTACAATATCCTAGCCCGCATAAGGCATGGCAATAATTCATTTTTTGGGGAAAAAAGTATTTGTTGTCAACACGCAACGTGAAGGACAACGAACGAGATTTGGATCACGATCATGATCATTGCGTGGTGATATTCCAATAAATTTCTTTCTCTTCCCATAATTCTCTTTCCATTTTATTCCATTTTATTTACTTGCCTTCCAATATCTCCATGCGGTGATTATTTGCCTGCCGGTGATTCCGTGAGTTTTATTCCATTTTATTTACTTGCCTTCCTGTGTCTCCATGCGGTGATTATTTGCCTACCGGGTATGGATTGCATGAGATGTAGTGATTATTTGCCTGTCGGATATGGATCGCATGAGTGTTTTGGTCCTGCCGGTAGATGTTGACAATCTATATGTTTTAGTTATATATATCATGGGTCTGTTAATGGCTGGAATGGTTCCAAGTGCCCTATTGGTCATAGCTCTAATATTTATTGTTATTCGGCAAAATGAACTATCAGGTATCTACTTGCTTTAAGAAGTAGCCGAATAACCACCTCATATATCATATAGTTCAGTCATCCATAATTTTCAAGTAAAACAAAGCAACCTAATAACTATCCCTAACCGAACTCTTGGTCTTTATAATGTTTACCTATTCTAAGGGCAATAGTAATAATGTTAGTTGCATACTTTAATTCTAAGGGCGATAAATAAATTACTGGCCATGTATTTGTTCTTGGGGCAATGAAAAAGTAACCATCGGCCATGCATATATTTCTTTTCAATACACGACAGCAACCGAAATTAGCAGATCCTAATAATACATACCTTATATCTCAATCAAGTATTTCGGTTTAATAATGAACAGATCACATACATTAATCATCACTTGGTTTTACAGATCAAACCAATTAATTAGCAAGTAATGATCTAATCTGGTCAAAATAATGTTTACTAGTTGCATTAGCTAATGGACCGATTAATCTGTAATTCGGCTCAAACTATATATATCTTTTTTTTAGCAATACAAATTAATATGACTACAATCAATATAATATTTTAGCTTCCTCAGGACGATGATAAATAATGCATCGGCCTTAATTTAGGTGTTAATATCGTTTTGCTCACAATAAAACATATCCATACCTTTGTGATGCAGAGTACCATGCTAGTTCGACAATGAACCTCCATCGACCAATCTTCTATTTTCATCATCGCTAGCCAACACCTGCATCTCTAACGGTGCCACTTGCTGAACTACAATGCTGAAACATGCCTTCAGAAGATTCTGTATTGCTAATTTGTATGTCCAGCCTAGTAGATTGTTGGTTTGTAGTACTAGGCCTTGTTTAGATGAGTGTTTAGAAATCAGTATTTGGCACGGTAGCATTTTCGTTTGTATTTGACAATTATTGTCCAATCATGCCTAGTAAAAGATTGTTGGTTTTACAATCAAACTGTAATTAGTTATTTTTTTATAGCATGTGTTCAAAAATTTGATGTGATGGAGAGAGAGTGAAAAAACTTGCAATCTACACGAGGCCCTAGCAGGCACAAGAGTTGTCTTCTCTGAATTTTTCTGCAAATCAAGTTCTGAACCATGCAACCCGTCTTTTTTTGCTGGAATATTCTTCCTGTCAAATGCGTCAGTCCTTTACTGATGTCATTGAGCATTACTACCCTGCTCCCCTGAACCAGTGATTTCCTTCTGACCTGATTCAGAGCTCGGTACAGCAACTGCTCTCTCATCAACAGCACATGCAGCCAATTCAGATTTATGAGTCATGACGGTGCCTATTTTCAGATCATCAGCAGCACCTGGCCCATGTGAACATGTCATAGGTTGATTCGCTCCACCCGTGTCATTTAAATTTGAATCCTTTGTGTGACACCTAGGTTTGACAGGCACCCACTTAAATTGCTACTTGCCGATTCGAATCAGCCCATCAGCATTCCGCTTGGGCAGCCCATCAGCACCAGATGCTCCGTGATCGGCATCACGCCTACGCGACGTCCTCCTAGCACCCAGAATATGATTGCTCATTTCTGGATTTCTAATAGCAATATCACTACATGAACTAAAAGATTCACTAACCAGAATCTCTTCTCCACCGTGAACAAATATTGTGTCTCTTGGCCGGTAACCTTGATCTGAAAACCGTCCAGTGCCTTGCTGTTGTAACAAGCTCCTTTTCCTGTGTACTTGCTGCCCAAACAGCTGCCCTGCAGGTTGCCAACCATGATGGAGGAGGTGTGCATTTTCTGGGAAGCCTGGCCTCCACTGATTAAATCCCCATGATGGATATGACATTAGAATATTAAATGGACAGCCCCAGTATGTTTGCTCCATTGGAAAATATGGCTGTTGTGTATACATATCTTTTTGCGACAAACCGAGTGGGCATCCCGGCTGTGATTCTCTTGTGAACTGCAGCAATTCATCCTTGACTTTGGGCACTTTAAAATTCTTTTGCTCAGATTTGACATCTAGATTATTAGTACCTAATTGCTTCATCTTTTCGCTAATGGTAGCCGAAGTTTTCAACACATTAATCGGCTTTTCATTATTTGAATCTAGAACTGAACTTTTATCTTTGCGGCCATCCTTTGTCACGCGATAAATTTGTTTGACTACCTTCTTATTCACCTAAGCTCCAGACCGATTCTTTTCCTTAAAACGGCCATTAATATGTGACTGTCTTTCAAATGTTGATTCTCTTGGAGCAGCATACTCTAAGTGGTATGGTCTAAAATATGATGGAACATGCATCCATGGATCATACTATCCGTATGATGAATAAGGATTACATGCAAAATATGGTTCATATGACATTGGCATTTTAGGTGGACATTCCCGGTACATATACTCTATTGGAAAATATGGCATTTGCGTGTACTCATTTTCTTGCCAATGCTTGTAATCATCAAAATATCTCCTAGAAAAAGATTTAGTATGCCTGAAATAATTAGACCGATTAGAACCTTTATCGGCCTTTTCTTTTTCATACTTAGCCAGAAGTTGTTGGAACGTCACCTTCGGCTTTTTTGATTTCGTAGTGCTCGGGACAGATGTTTGGGACTCACTCTTAATATCTTTGCTAATTTTAGGGACCCAAACCATTTTCTTCTTTTGGCTCACAACTTTGCTAGGCTTTTTAATCTTATCATAAAAAAGATCACTAATTTCACTAGGCAACACAACTTTCTTGACTTTTGTTGAAACTGCCTGTTCTGGCCGAATCAACACATTTTTATCCTCAAAATTAATTACATGTTTAGGGTTAGCTTTTTCAATTGACCTATGCCCCCCAATCCCTTGAGGTTCTATAGAATCCAACCAACCTTTGACAATAGTTGATTGAATGTTGTCCGATGTTTTAGAATTACATCCTTTCACTGTAACATCGGTCTTTTTATCTTTAATAATTGTCAGATTTTTATCACTACTTTTAACACCACCTGAATTACTCTCTAATTCGGCTATCTCAACCTTGCTTGAACTTACATTATCTGATAACTCAGAACCGTATTTGATCCCATTAAAATCAGTCTCTTTTATTTTATCAGGTATTAATTTAATATTTTGAGTAGCAAAATTATCATAAAACATATCCCTTAATTTCAAGCAAGCATAAATTGACTTTGGAACAGATAAGGTGGAGTTCACAAAAATGTTATTGCCTAGGACATATAATCGAGAACTCCTAGGATAATCCCCAGATTTATCTAATATAAAGACTTGATTAAATTGAGAAATAGGCAATGTATTTGCGATCTGTACCTCTTTGAATTTGGTGGAGGAAAGTGATTTACTTACCTCGGTGCTAGGTGAAGCAGAGTGGTGTGATGCAGCTACCTTTTTTACGACGCCATTCTTCGTCTTTTGAAGTACCGCTAATTTTCCCTGTAGACTCTCCTGCCTCTCTTCCTTGAGCTCCCGTTCAATTTCTCGCCGTCTATCTTCAGATAGATTGTCGAGCGTGATGGCGATGATATTGTCGGGGTCGATTGCAGCCACGTCGCTGATCTCTTCTTCATGTTCTTGCGTAGCCAGATGTGTGTCTTCTAATATAATAGAATCGGAACAAGTATTCTTTTCTTTGGCTCTTTCAATAACCGAATTATCATTCATATACAAATCAATTTTATTTTCTTCTAAACTTGCACGAGGTTTGAAACCACATTCTATAAGAATATTGTCAATTAGGTCCTTAAAATATTGAGATGGTTCTAGAGAATTAGGTTGTGGCGCAGATGGTATGTGACTGTAACTCCAGCAAAGAGGGTTGAGCATGCGACGTATGCTGCGGAGATATGACATTAGAATACACATTTGGAACCAGCTCTCACGGAACCCCGGTACCTATATATGGCGAAGGTGGTGTGCTACATGCTACTTGTTGATAAGAAGGTTGTTGCACATCAGAACTAAAGCCAACACTTTGGTTATATGTGCTGAAGTTTTGTGAAACCGAAGTTAAAACGGTAGAATCATTAGTGTTAGGTACAAAATAATTGGCCGAATAAGCATTATTATACTGGCCATCATGATTATACAACGGCATGTGCATTTGTGATGATATAGGTGTCATAAACATTGCCGATGTACTAGAGTCGAAAAATTCGTGTTGCATATTGCTAGCATGATTAAAACTCGTACTCTGCATAGGCTCTATACAATTCTGAGATTGGCAATTTGGGTGTACAAAACATCCATCTAAATGACTAATAGCCGATGCAATGGGTCTATCAACATGCTTAGCAACATGACTATATGAATCCATAGTAGCTGTAATAAGATAAAATATCTTACTTACCGATTACGCCGATGCGGACAAACGGAATTGTTGATGATATCGTTCTCAGCTGGAACCAGCGCCTGCACTTTTCTGTTATGGAAGAACGTTCTGCTGGTTTCTCTCTGTTGCTTTGGCTTGCTTCTTGAAAATCGATGCGTTGAATATTAGCCGAACCAAATTTGGACGTCGCCCTTTGATGGAATTGCTGGTGGCGTCTTGATAGATAGCCGAATGAATCAACGGTAGTATCGGCCTCGTGTTTCTTCTTAATAGAGATTTTCTTCCCCAACGGAGTCGCCAATTGTGTTGGCATGCGAAATTGATCCACGCAACAACACGATAACTATCGTACTTTCACGACAATGAGCAACTAGTTTTCAGGACAAACTAGCAAAGGAGTTCCTCGCTTTCGTGGAGGAGAGCCGACTATTTTTCAGCGCAAAACAGCAAAGATTACCAATCCCTAATGGAGATTAGGGTTTGGCGTGTACTACTGTCCTAAGGTAGAAGAAAATATAATGCTAAAAAAATAATAGATTGATAATGTCGATTGGCTAGAGAGGAAAAAACAACCGGCCGCACCCCATAATATATATGGGTCTGCCTGGTCTTCGGCATGGTTACAGGAGTCGGAGTCTTAATCACATACGAATACTAGAATAAAAATATCCCTCCTAATATAATCCTTGCTTGGCCCTGCACGCGAGAAGTACCAGGTATGTATCAGGTAATCCAAATAGAACTTGTATTCTCCAACCAAAGAATTTATCTACGTAAAATCTCATTCCGTGATCTCTCCTTCTGAGTTCCTTCTTTGCTTTCTTTTCCTTCACTCGTACACTCCAGCATGCATGAAAGTAGTACCCGACCTCCATGCTGCATATACCCTTGACCTGTAGGAACTCTTTCCTCCATAATTAGCAGCTGAGTTTCCATTCACCAATCACGTATCCTACAAATCCTCATGATGAGTTCCGCTCCTCCAAACATTATAGAACACATATCTGATCTGGCTCTTCAAGATGCAAAACCTCACACAAACATGCATGCACGTTTGGCTTGGCAAAAATAATCTGGCCGCCTGACGATCTCCACCATTGATATTGCTGCATCCTGCGCCACGCATCAGCCAAGCCTACTTCTAACCTGTCAAAATTCTTAAGCAGCGCGCGTTTCTGCTGATTAACATGACTACTATTAGTTAAAGGAATTTGGCTGACCAAATAGGCTAACTTGCATAATTACATTGTCAACACATGCCCCCTGTTTTGGTATAATTGCATTTACCAAAAACACTAGACTGGTGCCATTTTTATTCACAAATTCGGTCAACATCTTGCTATAACAATGCTTAAAAAACCTCTAGAATGACTAAGACTGAATTTTATGTATCTCTATAACCAAAAACTGGCCCAAGCTGGTAGAAATATTTCTTACCATTCTTATGAAAGGACACAAGCACGTCACCCTCCTTACAAAATTAGTAGCCACATCTTATCATATCAAAATCTTAGCCATGATGACTAACACACGAGCTATATTGTTTTTCTTTATTTAGAGAGTTATTCCCTCGCCAAAATTTGTTATAAAGGCAATGTAAACTCATGACCCACATTTCATTCTAGGGCAAGGATGTAGCCATCGACGGCTAAAGAGACCTCGGGGAACCGGCCAGGCGCTCCTTCGATCCCCGCAGCATGCCTCGGAGCGGTTGCGTGATGGTGGCCGCGAAGTAAAGGCGGAGTCAGGAGCGCATTGACAACGAGTCAAGTCCCCGCTCCACTTTCCACCAAGCGCGCCACCCACTCTGCGGATGCCTCCTCGCGGGGGATCCAACTCCCCTCGGGCCCACTGACTGCCTTCAATGGCCCGGATCCACGCACACCAAGTGTCGCGGCTCCTCCTCTGCTAGATCTACTCCATGTGGCCCGATGTCCCATCTCTTAGACGAAGTGGGATGACGCGGAAGTGCACGCCATAACTCCTCCGCCAGGCATGACAACCCAGGCGCCTTCAAACCGCCTGCTCAAGGTGTCAGCGAAAGGGATGTGCCTAGAAGCCACCATGCTCGCTGACAAGGAGGCCCCACGGTGGCCTCGGGAGGCTGTGCCGGCTCCCCAGAAGGAGCAACCTGACCCCCCTATCAACGGGTGTTTGGGCGGCGTACCCCCAAAACCAACCAACTCCTCGGAGTTGGGCGGGGAGCCGCTGAGCGGTGGATCCAACGAGGGTCCCTTGCTCAAGGTCGACAGGTTCCTCGTGACCCGACCTATAGCCGTACAAGGTCGGCCCCTGAAGGCCAGCCCGAGAGTGTCGGGGCCTGCTACCGAAGCCCCTAGAAGGGCATGACACGTCGGGTGATCAGGTGGCCCCAAGCCAGAGCCCAGATGCTCTCGATCACCCGACCCATGGTAGACTCCGACCGAAAGGAGGGGTGCCCCCAGGCCTAGAGTCGGTAACTCCTAGACGAGTTCACCGAACCCTCGCTCGGGCCATAGACCTACATGACATAGGACCAGAAGGGGTCAGCATCTCTACCGCTCGGCCTCGA